AAGGTTCTTTCTCCAGGTCTTGCCAAGCTGAGCCCTTCCCGTCCTTCAGTCCCAAATTACCTCCTTGGGTAGATCGTCCCTGACCAATGAGCGCAGGGTATGTATGTGTCCTCCACTCGGGATGGTCTGTCATCACATCACTGTGACATGCAGCCCCAACCATCTGAAATTGTCTTACAGATCAACTCACCTGTTGTCCGCACGCCTCCCCGACTCCCACTATTGAAGTGTTAATTTCACTAGCACAGAACTCATTTCCCTCTTGTGAATTGTTGAAACCCCAATGCCCACTCCTCACTCTGTCTTCAAACTTAGAGATAAGCAGAATAGACATAGGGGTGGGGGGAGGGGGAGAGGAGCCACGAATTCCTAAGGTATTAATAAGAGACAAAAATTAAAGGATTGCCAAGGATCACTGGTGCCACTGAAGTCAGATACCATGAACTTTGGGCTTCCCAAGACTTTGCCTGCCCAGCTTTGACAGCCTGAGAGGAGTGTGGAAAGGCAGCTAACAGAGACAATCTGAATTTTGGACAGAGCCAAAGGACTGATATCCCCAAATGGCTGAGAAGGCAGGTTGGAATGGGATCCACTGGGTCCTTCCAAGGGAGCTGATGGCTTCAGATGGATCAATACACAGGGACCAAGGACTTGAATCCAAAGCAGCAGTGAAAGTCAGTCCCACGGGCACAAGGGAAGGAAGACATTGCAGGTAAAATGCTAAGCAGGGTTGGTCTCGGCCTCTCTGGGCAGAGGCAGGCGTGGCCCTCCCTCTGGGTGTCTCACCCCTCTGCAATGATCAACTTGGCTAAAGATGTCAGTGACTAGTCATTGAATTCTCAAGGAGCAGATAACATCAAGAAAATTTAATTCTTGAATGCCGGAAAATTCTTCCTTCTTTCCTTTAGCTAAGAATTTTTTTCCCCTATCTCCTTTAACAGGGTTATCAGAACTCATGAGGAAAAGGAAGAACGAGCCATGAATGGCAAGCATGCACTAAATCCCAGTCTGGACTCAGTGACAAAGAATAATAAAAAGATTAGAGGTAATTTTTCCTCCTGAATTATAGAGACGCAGTGTGGATTCAGCTCAGCTGTGGAAGGGGCAGAGACATGCTACCCTCTGTCTCCAGGAGCACTGCTCAGGAAAAGGCGGAAAATCAAAATTCAGGATGCCTGGTTCCATTTGGATTTCAGATAAACAACAAATACTTATTGAGTATGCATATATGCCCCACACAATATTTTTTTTTTTGAGTTGGAGTCTCACTCTGTCGCCCAGACTAGAGTGCAGTGGCCGCTCCCGGCCACCGCAGCCTCGACCTGCTGGGCTCCGGCGATCCTTCCACCTCAGCCTTCCAAGTAGCCAGAATTATAGGCATGCGCTACCACACCCGGCTGATTTTTTGATTTATTATAGAGATGACGTCTCACCTGCCCAGGCGGGT